CTCCTCTGTGTCTGACTGTAAAACTTTCTTTTCAAAAAGGTCCTGGCAACATTGGAGCTACTTTGTAACTTTTATATTTGCATATTCAGTATTTTCATGTTTAAGATCTAGTGTAGGGGATATCAGGTGTGGTCATGAGAAACAAATCTGCAAATGTGTAATTATAAATGCTGTATAGCCTCAGCCTTGTGTGGCTTTAAATAATGGCATATCTTCCTTTATTCAGTCCATCTCTAGCAGGCATACTTTTTATAAAAGAATTAAAAAAATGGGCTCTGACCCATATTTGAAACCATAAATTTAAACCCAGTGTATTGATCTGGGCCATTGTACTTCTCATGTTGAATTGCTTGCAAGGGTTTAGTAGTTCATGTTGTAGCATGAGATGGGTTCTCATGTTGTAGGATTAGTGGGCAGTACATTTCTAAAGTGAAAACACTGTACTTGCAGTAATATTGTCTTTGAACTTTAAAGGTCTTTTTATTTAGTATCTTGCTTTTTTAGTTTTTACAAGTCATTAGAACATAAAGGCAAGCTGTGAAAAAGTGGGGTACAAAAGGGTCTTGGGGAAGAAAACTACATTGCTATAACAGTTGTACCTAAAACCTCTTTGTTTTGAAATTGGTGTTGTCTTGACTCTCACAAGTGTTATGTTTTGTCACAAAGTTCAGATGTAGGTATGTGATGAATAATGACCTTCATCAAAATATGACTGTTGAATACAATCCCTATTTGAAACAGATTCGTCTCACTAAAACATGGTATTTGGGGAGTTGAGGGTAAAATGTATAGTCTTAGAGAGATAAGGAATGGTAGTCTATTATTGATCAAGTTAAGGAAATGTGTTTGTATGCACTTGTCATATAACTAAAAAGCTTGAGTCTGGGGTAATGGCAGCAGTCAGTTAAATTGTCCTTAGTCTCCAATCCATATATTGAGGCTTGCTCAAGATATCCATGAACATTATACTCTTTCTTAGATTCTGTGCCTTTTAATTTTAGTACATATGGCTGTGTGAGAATATAAAAAACCCCAAAACAGTGATGACCTTGCATCTAGACTGATTAACCTACTTTTGCCCATAATATTGTCAATTTATCTTTAAGACTGATCTCTGTTTTCTAGAAATCATAAATATTTTGTAGGATTATAAATATAAACTTATATATTTACTTTGTATAAGTTTATACACTTTGCAAAATGGCACAAAGATTTACTCTCATTCCCAGTAAAAAAATCTATTAACTAATAAATAAACTACTAACACACACACACCCCTAGGGTCGGCTCTGGCCTGTGGGGGGAGGGAGGGGTGGCAGTGAGTGGCTGGAGCACAGGGGTGGGGTGGGGGGATTCCCTTTTAAATGTACTATGACCACCTGTCCAACTTTTAATTGTTCAATACACAGGATAAAATCTTCTTAATTAGCTACTATTAAGTATGTCCCCTGAAACAGGAAACTAGTTCTGTTTTGCCTGCTTTGAACATGCATAAGGAATAAATTTTAAGTTGGGACATGGACAAATATAGACTTGGGGTGGGAACTGTTATGTATGCAGGAGACTATAGCAATACAAATTTAGCAGAACTGCCCCAAGTTTAACTCTGGAAGAAGCAGGGTTAGAGTTAAGGTAGTTTTCTACTTTTGTATCTTTATAGGCTTGTGCACTTAAATGTTAGTGCAACAGCAGCGTCTTCCCTCTGGCTTTTTGAAACCACTACAAATAGGGGTGCGCTGATATATTGGTTGGCCATTGGATTGGCACCGATAAAAGGAGAAATTATGTTATTGGCTATCAGCCATTTTTTGGTCGTTGTAGCCGATTAATTATGGCCACGTGCCCATGGCAGACTGCAGGTCCACTGAGCAACGGGAAGGGGAGGGGTTGCTGGGGAGTGGTCACAGAGCACACTAAGCAACAAAGGAACTGTTACTGGCTCCTGCTGCCACTGTCAGTGTCATGGCAGTGCCATGCACAGTAGGGGCCTGAGTGCCGGGACTGGCGCTGAGACGTTGGGCTGCACATGGGTGGGATAAGGTGCCTTGTGAGGGACATTCTGCTCCACCAGGCATCTTTGAAAAAGTAGCTTCTCCCTGGCAGTCAACAGAGCTCAGCTGCTGGGGCCCTGCCAGCGCTGAGACAGCAGCATTCTCTGGGGCTCCAAACAAGCCTGGTAATGCTGTCTGCACGAGGGTCCTTCCTGCCTGCCTGGGATAGCAGCACAGGCTGTGTGGGGAATGGGTAGGAGCTGTGGGTAAGGGGGCTATGTAGGAATAAGGGAGTTGCTGCCTTCCTGATTGAGGGACAGGAGGTGTGTGTAAAATGCAAAACAAACCAACAGAAAGGTTTGTTTATGTCAGTAGTTTAAAATGCCTTGTGCTATTACTAAATATTGGTTATTGGTTTGGCATCAGCCAATATGATTGGTTAATCATCAGCTATCGGTATTGGCTAAGAATATCTTTTATCGGTGCATACCTAACTACCAAGTGTATATTTGTCCCTGCCCTCAGTCCTTAACTTTGATCTTTAATTTGAATAGACATCAGATGTCTGCTTTGGACACTGCAGGGGTAGCGCAAACCATTTAAAAATGCTGTGCTGTCACACAGCACAGCTTGATACTCTGGGATGAGGCATTTATTAAACAACTTGTTTATTTCCTGATCTGCATTTACACTTCCTCTTACAACATGGCATTACTGAGTCTGTAGACCATCTCAAATCATGTTTTAAACGGGAATGGGAAATTCATACTTTTATCTCATTGGACTGTTATCTCCAAACTATAATGATGACATTTTCTGTATTAGCATTAGCTACAGATCGCTTAATTAATGTGGGATGGGGTATTTGAGAACTGTGACAAGCAGGAGAAAGGGCATAATGGAACAAAATGAGAGCAAGGATAGCAATGGTTCTAAAGGAGGGTATAATTTCAAAGTGATGCTCTTCATGCCAATAAGGTTCTGAACAAATTTTCAATAGGGTGAAATATAAATCTAAGTAATAATAATGGCCTCATTTTTATTGTAGAGCTCTCATTGCAGTTACTGGTAGGTTATCCTTAGGATGGAAGAAAGTATGTAGTGTTAAATATACACTGCAGGTGCCAATTTTAAAAACAATTTTCCTCTGTTCAGAGAATGAGTTTGATATCCTTGTATTAAACTTTTTCACTCTGACAGCCTTCCACAGTATAAGATTATTGCATCTACATTATTCTAAACTGTCAATTCTTTGAGTAGGTTCATAAGCCTTGTTTTAAGATCAGGCAGACCAGTGATACACTCGACTGTCTCTGGTGCCAGAGCTTCTTGTGGCAGCTGCTGAAGTGCATGTGCACCGGAATGCTTTTGGTGGTTCCTTTAAGCATCTCTGCCACCAGAATGCAAAGTCACGCTGGAGAGGTGGCAGACAGCTCAAGTCTCATGATTCATAGATGTTAGGGTCAGAAGGCACCTCAATAGATCATTGAGTCTGACCCCCTGCATAGGCAGGAAAGAGTGATCTAATCTCCTCTTGAAGACCCCCAGGGTAGGGGAGAGCACCACCTCCCTTGGGAGCCCGTTCCAGACCTTGGCCACTCTAACTGTGAAGAAGTTCTTCCTAATGTCCAATCTAAATCTGCTCTCTGCTAGCTTGTGGCCATTATTTCTTGTAACCCCTGGGGGCGCCTTGGTGAATAAAACCTCACCAATTCCCTTCTGTGCCCCTGTGATGAACTTATAGGCAGCCACAAGGTCGCCTCTCAACCTTCTCTTACGGAGGCTGAAAAGGTCCAGTTTCTCTAGTCTTTCCTCGTAGGGCTTGGTCTGCAGTCCCTTAACCATACGAGTGGCCCTTCTCTGGACCCTCTCCAGGTTATCCGCATCCCTCTTGAAGTGCGGCGCCCAGAATTGCACGCAGTACTCCAACTGCGGTCTGACCAGCGCCTGATAGAGGGGAAGTGTCACCTCCTTGGATCTATTTGTCATGCAATGATGAGCATGAGTATTTACTTGTATTTTCATCTGTCTGCAGTTTGGCAGCAGAAGCCTTAATCTGTTTCAGAAAGGTGAATTGACCCTCCCAAGCAGTATAGAGGGGATCTGCTGCTGTGAAAGCACTCAGTTTTGATGGTAGAACTGGATGGTAAAAATTCATTATGTAGGTTAAGCCACAGAATGACATTCATATTAGTGAGTTGGGATTCCTACTGCTTAACTAATCTTTCTGTTGTTTAAAAAGAATTGGTAAATTAGAGTGAACATAAATCATAAATTGGATGGCACATTTCTTCCACTTAACTGGGTCTACTGAGAATCAAGGTAGTCTTTTGACCTGTAAATTGAAAGTAACCTTTCAGCTGGAGACTGAAGACCTGTATCAAGCAGGAACTATATGGGTGGCAAAAGTAAATACCTAACCTCCAGATATTATTTAGAAATCACTTGTGACACTTAGGAATGTTATGATCAGCTCCTCTCAGGCAGTTCACGAGGAGGCTGTATATTTAAGTTAGCCCTATTGGTTGGGGGCATGATTTTTTTTATTTTTTTTTTTATTTGCAGAACTGTCAGTATAAGCCTGAGTGTGCAGGCAGTTGTGATGCAGCAATGTTTGTACTGGTGTAAATGCATCTGTAACATGAATCCTCCCTTCTCCAATATTTAGCTAGTTGTCATAACTGTACCAGGAACACTCTTCTAGGTAGAAAAGACCAAAGTGACTTTTTTTAATGGGGTTGTCTTTCTATAGGGAGTTCATCTAAGATCACATACTTGGTCTATGAGCACTTCTGATTTTGGCTGCCCTTGATCAGGTGAATTAAAAGTAAAAGTTTCTGTTCATTCAAAACATCTTAAATTCCATGACCTGGTCCTTGGAAGTGTATCTCTAATTCAGAATCATTTGACAGGAAAAATGTTAACATTTTATTTTAATCTTGCATGCAATACTGTTAAATATTATTGAAGTCTTACAGATTTTATTTCTCTTAACTTTTTAAAAAACAGGTTGAATCGTTTATTTTGGACCAAGAAGATCTGGATAATCCAGTGCTTAAAACAACATCAGAGTTATTTTTATCAAGTCCTGCAGAAGGAGCAGATTTAAGAACTGTGGATCCAGAAACACAAGCAAGATTAGAAGCATTGCTAGAAGCAGCAGGTACTCTGTTTGTATAGTACTTTTCATGTCAATGGAAGCCTTAACTTTATTTTACAGAATTGCAGCCAGATGTCTCTCTTGGTCATTTAGACTATTTGAATATATTTGATATAGAGAGTCTGAGCTACAAGAGAGCTTTTAGTTCCCATAAAAAAAGTTTTTTAGTCAGTAGTTCTTTACTTATTATAATGTGAGAAACTATTCAAAGAAGTAAATTTGTCATTGACCATAATAAGGGTATAAATATTTTGAGGGAGAGGACTGAGAGAGCACAAGATGAAACTGGTTTGCTAAACTGCCATTTTTCCTTTCTCTCCTACAGTACACTTGTAATTCTTAATTTGTCTTACAAAATTTTAAAATTGAAATGGGCTCTGATTTGGCTATCAAATATAGCTATAACCCTCTGAATCAGTTTGATTTCTGCAAAATAATTTATTTTTATTTTCACAAGCGCCTTCCTGATGCTAGTTTTTCATGATGAATGTTTTTTCTAACTTTGGTAGACACACAATGGGTAGGATAGTGTTTTAGTGCCTTACATTTTGTTAAACTTTAATCCAATGAGTATTTTTATTGAACCACTTCCTTAAACTATTTTCAAACTGATATTTGCAGCATTGTGATATTGCATGAATATTAGAAAGCGAATCTGGCTTGTCATTGTTCATAATTAAAGCAAAGTGGTGCAAAAAAGTATACAATGTAAATAATGTAGAGAGCAAATGGTCAACAAACCATGAGCTAAGATCAGGCAAAACCAGACAAACGCATGAAAGATCACATAGATGGATGGTTAAAATTTTCATCCCCTTCTATTGCTGACCATTGTGTATATGTACCAGGTCTACATGGGGCCAAGCCAAATTTTCCTTGTAATTGCTCTTCCAGTTACTAGAACTAAGAGTAGGAGGTCTGCTGCCTTGTGCTTTTAATGCCTTACCTATCCTTGGTGGCCTACAAGCCTTTCATGTAAAGGAAATATAAACGCACAGGGATTGAGAGCTGAACTGAAGGCAGGAGTTAATTGAGAGAGATGTAGATCAAAGTCCCATCAGATCAGAGAGTTTGGGACTTTGACTTGAGGTTGGAGAGGAAGAGGGAAGAGAGAAACTGGGATTGGTGGCTCAGCGACCATGACTAAGTCCAGGAAGCAGTGACTCGCGGTTGGATATAGTGGAGAAATAGATCCAGCATGGAGCTGTGATGGGGAAGACTAGGATTAGCTGAGCAAGAAGACTGGTTCGCAAAAGCTTCAGTGGACTGTGACTGAGTAGACTAAGAGAATGGGACCGGGATGAAGAGCTATGATGATGAGGCAGGAAAGTGAGGGGAGAAGGGAGTTCAGTGTTGATCAGATGTCCACAGGCAAAAGAGTCTAAGACCACTGAAAAATATTCTCCTGACCTTGGAAAGGAAACCAAGATTCCAAAGTCTCACCATTCTTGTGCTTTCAGCAAACATCTGATCTGCTGACTGTGTCATCCCCTTCTAATGCTGGTTCACAGAGAGAATGATGAGCTTCTTGCCTTTGTCGCTCTGTTAGCTCATGTGGTAGAAATTGGTGAAGTGGATCTGCAGGTTACATCCTGATGATGAACCATATGACTGTTATTATGCTGCCATGTGATTAAATTTTAATTTTTCAGTTGCAGGCTTTATGATGATGCATTTTTGTGGGCAGTTCATGGATTCTTAAAAAAAAAAAACAAAAAAAAACCAAAAAACAAATCAGGTACTCAGAAGATGAAGTTAAGTTCCTTTTGCAACCTTAATTAGATCAGTGTGTGTGTGTTTTAAGTATCCATCTCAGTCTTTACTCAGCCAGTCCAGTTCTCCCCCTTGCACACTGGCCTCTTTTTAGATTTTCCACCACGGTAATGCACAGTAAGTTTTTGTCCATTTGGTCCTTCTCCCAGCTGTTCATCTGATCTCAGTGCATTCCTGTTCCATCTTACTGGTTTGCAAGTCCTAGGGTCACCTTCCATTCTATCCTTTGAATCAACTTACAGCCTTACTTCTGGATTGCCTAGTTCTCCTTCCTGCTCTGCCAGACCCAACATGTGACTTGCAGCAGAGAGTCATACTTATGTTTCCCAGCCTCTAGTCCCAGTCTTGCTAGATTTCTTATTTCAGTTTATTTCTGCCCCCCTTCCCTGTTTTTGGTGCCTTTACCTGGGTGTGTGCTTGAGAAAGGTGGAGGGAAAGTTTAAAAAGGGACTGGTTCTGTGCTTTTGGTTCCTATGCTTGGCCTGGCCTGACCCGACCC